TATAAAAAATTCCCAGTGGGGACTCATAAGGCCATCTCCTCTCCATGCTATAATGCTGACTGGCTTGATTTTGTGTTGGTCTCGTGGAGGCAACCACAGCTCTAGGTTCATGAATAAAGTTGCTCTGCCATGTTTGGAAGACACTTTTGCTGCAATCCATGACCTCTGATTGTACAATCTTTCTGTTCATTTTCTATGATGATCTCTGAGTCATATATGTGCATGTGTCTGTGCGTGCGCACGCACATGTGTGTAGGATCTAGATGTCCTGTTTGTGGCGCTTATTCACTTACTCTAACTTGCTCAATTGTAAATTTCTATTACATGAAGAAACGTCTCTGATAATGTCTAAGAGCTGCATTAATCTATGGGTATAAAGGTTGTCTTAGTTAGGGTTTCTATTACTGTGATAAAACAGCATGACCAAAAACAACTTATAGAAGTAGACATTTGATTGGGCTTCCAACTTTAGAACTGATGATGGTGGAGTATAGTGGCAAGAATAGCTGAGCGCTCACATCTTGAGTGACAAGCAAAGGCAGAGGGAGAGAGAAAGGATGGCACAGGGAATGGAGTCTTTTAAAACTGCAAAGCCCACCCCAAGGGACACATATACTCTAACAAGGCTACACATCCCAACCCCTCCAAATAGTTCCAGCAGTTGGAAATCAAACATTGAAAACTGTGAGTCTGTTTGGGCCATTTTCATCCTGGCCACCACAGAGGTATTAATTTAGAGGTAGATTTGACACTGTTCATTTAGCAGAACAATTCACTTAAGTTTTAAAGACTTCAATCTTTCTCATCATAGACCAAGTCTCAGCATGTATTTTTATGGTGACAAACAGTATCCACACAGGGATATCCAGGAAAGAAGAACTAGAAATATCTTGTTTGTCTACCATTATCTCTTTCCTTATTCTTTTCTCTCTCCCTTTCTACCCTCCTTTTCTCTTATAAAGTCTTGATAGGTAGTGGATAGTGTCCTCTTACTCACTGAAGCAGAGAATACAGAGGAAGAAGAGGCATGAAGTAAGATGATCTTGGTTTGGGCCATTCTTCAGGAGCTCATCATTTTATCCATGTGAATAAAGATACTGGGTCATTATACATCTAGACAAGGGCCTCTCCAGGGATGAATCTCAATTCAAGTTGTGGATTTTGAATGTGTGTGTGTGTGTGTGTGTGTGTGTGTGTGCATGTGTGGTGATGATGATATGTGAATTTATGGAAATGTCACAAGTCAGTGATGGAATGGAGAGAGCAAAGGTTTATGGATTGAACTCCGAGGTACCCTGATATCGGAGAGATAGCAGAGCACCTTGTGAAAACTTTAGAAGAGGAGGTGATTAGAAGGAAGGTGAGCAGCAGTGTTGCTAGGAGGCACAGGGGTGGGTCGGATTGGGTCAGTGTTCACTAGAGTCCAACTCAGGACATATGGGAGAGTTGGATAGGACTTCTCAATGGAAGTATTTAGGCTTCTTAGAATCTGGAACAGTTGGCATTGAAGTGGCAACAAATGCTTGATATAATGATAGTTTTCCACAAAACTAGTTACAGGGATTTATATGAAAATGTCTTAATATAACAGTGATGTTACGTATATGTTACATATATGTTATATAGCGTGATCAATATGACCATATTACATAAGATCAACCATTTTGAAGTGAGTACTTGAGTAAAAATCTCGTACATTCACAAAGCTGTACACCCATCTCTATTCAGTTTCAAAACATTTCCAAGACAAAACTTCACTTCCTTCAAGTAGTTATGCCCAATTTTTTCTCCAGGGCCTGGAATATATATATATATATATGTGTGTGTGTGTGTGTGTGTTTTCTTTATGTATTTCTTATTCTGAATATTTCATACACATGGAACCAAATAATGTATGATATTTTGTGACTAAAATCTTTCATTTAGCATAATATTTGCAAGGCTTATCTATTTAGCATATGCCAATCTTTCATGGAGTTTGTGACTATACATAATATTTATCTGTATAGATTTATCACAGTTTGTTTATTGATAATCAGTTCGTGTGTTGGTCTGTTTCTGGTTGTGAACAGTGTGTACTGTTACCATACATATACACCTGAACATCTGTATTTGCTTTGGGTAGGTTTTTAGCAATGAACCTAGGTTTTCCAAAATTACATATATTCTTTATATATTCTTCATATAATTGTAATTGAAATCATAGGAAACATTGTGTGTTGTATAAAATATCAGCTCATGTTGTAGGAGGCTGCTTGTTCATTCCCGGCTGCCCAGACTCAAAATAACCACACAGAAACAGTATTGATTAAACCACTGCTTGGCCTATTAGTGCTAGCTTCTTATTGGCTAGCTCTTACATCTTAATTTAACCCATTTCTATTAATCTATGTATCACCGTGTGGCTGTGGCTTACTGGCAAGGTTCCATCCAGTCTCTGTCTCTAGCTGGGATCCATGGCTTCTCCCTGACTCTGCCTTCTTTCCTCCAGCATTCAGTCTAGTTTTCCATGCCTACCTCTATTCTGCCCTGCCAGGCCCAAGATAGATTCTTTATTAACCAATGGTATTCACAGCATGCAGAAGGGAATCCCACATCAAACTCAAATATTATACATTCCTTGAATGTATACTTTATGTGTTTTTTATGTTTAAAGATGAGATTGGTGAAGTCATTATGTGGTAACTAAAAAGCCTATAAATAAACAAGGTATCTATGTGTGCACTCGTATATACGTGTGTGTGTGTGTGTGTGTGTGTGTGCATGTATGTATGTATTTTAGAAGGAGAAGTTCTCACTAGAATTGAGTTTTAATTCTTCCAAGGGAGAGCATGCAGGCACATACTTGCATAAACAGAGATATCTAGGAGATAGAGGCTGGGAATGGAGTTGACTAATTTTTTCTGAAGAAAAGATGAGTTGCTCTCTCAATGATATGAAAAAGAGACAGAATAATGAAGTCAACTAAGATCATCCTGGAACAAATTTAACAGTTAACTGATTTTAAAATGATGATTGTGTTTTCAAAATCAAATTTTAATTCATCTTTTAATATCTTCCAATTCATTTACATTTTTTAAAAAATTGCATTTCTCTAATGAGGGACATTAGTGTGCCTGAAAGGAGATGTGAGCTCTGTTTATGACAAATGACCCAACTTCTCTGTAGAACATCTTAGCTTTTATTTATACATTATAGATCAACTGGTTCATAGAGAGGGGCTCCTTGATTCTATTTCCTATGAAGCCATTATTGATTTAAAGCAACACTCATCCTATGCTATCCACAGCATCATTCTTTCTTGGGGTCTTTCTTCTACCAGAGTCAACCATGGCACTAGGATTTTGCAAGATGTGACTCTGACCAAACACTCCAAATACTTCCTACAGCCTTAGGAAAGAAGCGGTTCTTGTTGAGTGTCTGTTAAGGGCTATGTTTATCTGGACTCTCTCCAGTCCTAACAGACAGCAAGATGTGTATTTGTGTGTTTGCCAACTTCAAGGCCTGGGCTCTGTCTACCATCTCTAGGCTGCTAATGAGGTGTTGTCTCCTGTGCTTGTGGCTCGCCACAGTTGTCGGGGGAGAATTATACTGAGCATGCCTCTGGGTTCAGCAGGAAGCAGGACGTACATGGGTTAACTCTGTGGGTTTCATGAGGACAGAAGGAGAGAGCAGGGGAAGGCCCAGAACCTTCTGTATACTGATCATCCCTAAGCTGCATTATATTACTTCTCTTTCTGTTGGGGGAAGGGTCGCTTGTATGTTCCCAGCTGCCTGGCTAGTTTAGACCCGAAATAATCACACAGAAACTGTGTTAATTAAATTACTGTTTGGCTCATTAGCTCTAGCTTCTTACTGGCTAACACTTACATATTAATTTAACCCATTTCTATTAATCTGTGTATGGCCATGTGGCTGTGGCTTACTGGTTAAAGTCCTGGTGTCTGTCTCTGGTGGGGCTACATGGCATCTTTCTGAGTCTGCCTCCTTTCTTCCAGCATGCCATTTAGTTTTCCCTGCCTAGCTAAATTCTGCCCTGCTATAGGTCCAAATCAGTTTCTTTATTCATTAATAGTAATCACAACATACAGAGGTAAATCCCACATCACCTCCCCTTTTCTGTTTAAATAAAAATAATGGTGTGGGAGGTCTCTCTGTCTATGTATTGATTTTATTGGTTAATGAATAAAAAAAAACTGTCTTGGCCTATAGCATGGGAGGAGGAAGGCAGAGTTAGAAAAACGCCATGGAACCCCTGCCAGAGTCAGAAATGCCAAAACGTTGCCTGTAAGTCACTACCATGTGGTGATACACAGCTTGGTAGAAATGGGTTAAGTTAATATGTAAGAGATTAGCCAATAAGAAGCTAGAGTTAATGGGCCAAGCAGTGATTTAACTGGTATGGTTCCTGTGTGATTATTTTGGGTCTAAGCTAGCTGGGCAGCCAGGAACCAACAAGTGCCCCTTCTCCAACATCTTTCTTTCTTTCTTTCTTTCTTTCTTTCTTTCTTTCTTTCTTTCTTTCTTTCTTTCTTCCTTCCTTCCTTCCTTCCTTTCTTTCTTTCTTTCTTTCTTTCTTTCTTTCTTTCTTTCTTTCTTCTCCTTCCTTTCTTCCTTCCTTCCTCCCTCCCTCCCTCCCTTCCTTCCTTCCTTTTTTAAAGAAAGGGTTTCTTTGTGTAGCCCAGGCTGTCCTGGAACTCACTCTATAGACCAGGCTGGCCTTGAACTCACAGAGGTTCTGCCTCTGCCTCCTGAGAGCTGGGGTTAAAGGCATGAGCCACCACTACCACTCTGCTCTCATGTCACTTCTTATGAAATGTTTCTGTTTTTAAGAATACTAATATCTTTTAAAAGCAGTGTATCTAGGTCCATAGCTAGTTAATGCTGTTTTATGGACATTCCTGTAGTTCCACCTCTTTTAACTAATGTCCTCTCTAGTTCCTGTTGTCAATGTGTCAAAGACTGGCAGCAAAACATTTATAACTATGTGTTTGTTTCAGGCAGAGAAAGCTGATGGATTTGTCAACCTGCCAGATTTCACAGTGGAAAGAGCCTCTGAATGCAAGAAAAAACAGTGAGTCTTTTTTCAATCCCCGTTCACCTAGTGATGGGGTAATTTGGAAGTGGAGGAAGGTATGATTAAAATGTCTGGGAATTTTGAGTGTTGTGAGTTGGCACTGTACAAATATACACTCATAGAAAATGGACATAGAAATATTAACTTCTCAATTTCTGGCTTGGTAACCCATGGGGTAGATGGGTATTAACTGCCCCATTCCCCGTGCCAAACACACACTAAGGCAAGGGAATCAATGTCAAGGTTTTGACCTTGTAAAGAACAAATAGCAGAGCAGGGGTCACTACACAGAGTTGAAGACCTAACAGTGAGACCATCTTAGTTCATGGTATTATTAGTACCGGCCTTGCCATTCGATGCTCTGATGCACTTAAGTTGGAATTGTATTCTGCTATAGAATAAGTATGAACAGTGATGGGGATGAAGTAGGTTCTGCTAGGAAGGACAGAGCCTGGAGGGTCTGGGAATAGTCAAGAGCTCCCTAGAGAGCTGAGTATACACTCTGGTCACATGATCATTTCATGAGAACACCCTACTGTGACTTACTTTTATGTCGTCTTTGATCTTTCTCTTATTCTTTCTCAACATCTTTTCCTTTATTATTTGAAAGGAACATTTTTTTTTCATTGATAAGCAATGAATTGCTTCCTTGGGAACCAGTGTTAGCTTTTGTTCTTTGCTATACTGGTATAATAGCTGTGTCTTGTTCTGTATTTATGCTTGTGGTTTTTGATTGGTTATTAAAAAAATAACTTTGTCATGTTCTGGTGTGATTGGTAAGTGGAAACATTGTACTTGCTATCACTGATGGGCCATGAACTTTCTTAACTACTATCTAATTTGTTCCTTTTCCTTTACTAATACAGAGCCCCTTATCTATGGCTTCTGAAGAGTTATGTGGTGTTGAGGTGGCATACCTGATTATTCTCATATAACTAAAACTCTACTGTATAGTTGACTGAATTTAAATAATACTGTGCTTGAATGAGTTGATCTGAATCCTGTAAAGTGACAAGCCAGGGACTCTCAAGTTGAATGTATTATCTCTAAACCTTTCAATAGTTAGTAGGTGAAAAAGGTACACCTTTAGATATTTAAATGGAAGCTAAGGAGTGGCTAAGATGCAGTTCTGACAGGATAAAATGACCCCTGCTAACTGGAATAGGAATCCGATAATAGGTGTTTATCAAAGTTACTTTAAAAACTCTAACATAGGTGCTTTTCTCCTTTCCAGTGCGTTTAAGATCAACCACCCAGAGATCAAAGCCTTCTACTTTGCAGCAGAGAATTTACAGGAAATGAACATGTAAGTAGAGAAGGCTGCATCCAGTCCCTAAGAGAATGAACTTACTTTGATCAGGCATCAGAGTTTTAAGCCAATGTCATGTCACTTATTGGCCTATTCATTTTAGTTACTTAAGTTTGTTCTGTTAATTCCTTTAGCCATTATAAAAGCATCTTGCTTTCTTCTCTAGCATGTAGAGTCATTTGTGGGAATAAACTTGTCTTAAGGGAGTAGTTGTAAGATTTTTCTGAAGGAGCTGCAGAGGAGAGAGGAGACAGAAGGAGACCTTATGTGATAAGAATTCACACCACAGAGAAAGACCCATTGCTACTCAGGTTCTGCAGCCTCTAGCGTATGCTGTGTGATTATCACAAAAGCTTATGGACTTTATATCCCCTTGTATCACCCTGAACATTTACTTCTGGAGCACTCGACTTTAAAAAAAAATCCTAGCTCGGTTTCTGGCTTACTCTGTTAGGTCAATGCATTCAATTCCCACTTGGCTCCTGGTTTAGACAAAGATGCATAGCACTTGCTATAATTTGAATGAAATGGTCTGTGAGGTGCTGCCTCAAGGGACCAGAAGACAGCCTATCAACTTAAAAAGACTGTTCTTGATGTCTTTAAGACCATCACATAATAATTTAATGTTTATGGAACATCTATAGTATGCTCCATTTACAATAACAGTGGGTAGTAACAATCAAACCCTCCCACCCCACCCCCATAATTCTTCCATTCATAGACTTTAACCTGAAATGCTGCTGTCTATTATACATTGTAATTTCATTGATTTTCTTCCATACATAATCCATCTTTGCCTTCTTGTTTCAGAAAACTAAATAAAATAGTTGCTATCTTCCCTCATGCACCTCCACCCCCTTCAGGTCACCGTTTCTGCAGCACGGTCTAGTGAGGAGCCTTTTTATTTGTTATACACACTTAGCTTACCCTCACCTCATCTCCCCAGATGAGGACAAATCCCTCACAGGGAGTTGGGAAACCATGGGTTAGCTGTCAGAGAAGAAACTGATAACAGTGTCTTTCAAATGTGTCTTTGATAGACAAAGAAGGTGTCTGCTTCACACACTTTCTGATTGTAGCTTTCACCCCCTCCCTTGCCTTTCTCAAGCACCTGAAGGGGAAAAAAAAGAACAGACACCTCAGAAGACAGGGCATATACTCTTCAAAGGTCATCACTCGTCTCTGTATGGCTGGTGACACAATCCGTAGTCACATGCTCTGCATGTGTCCAGAAGAAGGTGGTGCACTTGCCTAGAGGTAGTTAGAACCCAGGTATGGTGACTGCCAGTCAGCAGCTGAGCCGCCACTGAGGTTCACAGGGCTGACTCTGGTCTGTAGTGGCAGGGAGGCAGGGTTGCCCACCATCCCACTCTGATAGCTTCTTGGGCAGCATCGTGGGCATCACATGTCTTCAGCTTTATCCCTGTTACCGCCTTTCCCACCCATCTTGGGACTGATCCTTTCAAAATAGTTTTCATCTTCCCAACGAGGGCTTAGTGAAAGAAATAGTTCTCTTGAGTGCCATGTTACCTAGTGAGTGTCTCCTATGCAGAAAATCACATTTTCAGTCAAGAGGAGGTTAGACACCTATGAGATTATTGTGCTTCAGGCGCTCTGATCCACACATCCAGGCTATGTAGCTCCCTGTCCCTGGCTGCCACCAGCTTAGTCTTGGTTTCCATCTTCAGTCTTTAGAGTCAGGCTCTCTTTCCCATTTGCAGATTCCTGTTTAAGGGCAGGTCTTGTGTGAGTTCTAGCTCTAGATATCTTTTCCACTGTTGGCTAGTAACTCAACACCTGTCACCACAGTCAAGGTTAAATCTTATTGCCACTCCGTGTTGTGAGGAACATTGACTTACTGGAAATTCTGCCAGAGTATCCTTTTCCAACTTATAAACAAGCCACAAATTGGATTTGAATTTCCGGTGTCCTGAGCTCTGATTTTGAATCTCTCTAGTTATATTAATACTTCAAAGGATGATTTTAATCATACTCCTTCAATTGTCTATCTTTCTAATCATGATTATGTGGCCCATTTTGCCTGTGTCTGGATACATGACAATTTCTTCTATCTGCAATACCATTGTGTAGTATGAGGGGGCCGGCTTTTTGGGGTTTCCGTTTCTGCCCAGTACCACACAGCCGGCAACTCCCAAGGAAAATCACACACAGGACTCCATAAGGTTATAAACTGATTGGCCCATTAGGTCAGGCTACTTATTAGTTCTTATAACTTATCTTAACCCATTATTCTGATCTATGTTAGCCACATGGGCTCAGTACCTTTCTCAGTGTGACAGCTTACATGTTGCCTCTTCGGTGGTCTGCGCAGGAGTGGCTGAGAGAGCTTCTGCTTCCAGAATACTCCCAGTCTCTTTGCTCCACCCCTACTTCCTGTCTGGCTTTCCCGCCTATACTGCCTGCCTGGCCAATCAGCGTTTTATTAAAATATGATTGACAGAATACAGATAATTCTCCCGCACCATTTCCCTCTTTTTTTTTTAACAAAGGAAAATACCCATAATCCATTTGTTGGGAATGTGGGCGTAGGATTTCAGGCTACTTCCTGCTGGTTGGGGGCGCTGATGATCTTATGGGGACCTAAAGAAAATTTAGAGTTATAATCAAGTCCTGACTGAAGTATCCTGGGAGTCTTGATCATCTCAGGCTGCAGTCTTGAATCAGTTCTGGATGTAGAACTCTGTCATCTGGGCCATCTGTTCCTGTCGATTTCTCAGGTGGTCTCCCTTGGTCAAAGATGATTTTTCTTAACTCTGAATAAATCCATAGCCTCTCATTTTCTGTGGAAACAAAAGCAGAATCTCTTCTCCAAAGTAACATACCTTTTGACTTCAGTTTTGAAGCCAAGGTATTTTCAAAATGTCTATCTTGGGTTAGTTCAGCAGCATTTATAAACAAATGTCTTTTGGTGACTGTTGCTCCTTCCTCAGCATTCAAACAATTAAAAGAGAGCATAATAACACACAGTATCAAGATTCTCTGTGTATTTTCCATCTTTATGCAGCTTTATTTTACTTCTATTTCTTTTATTTTTTACTTTTACTTTTTGAGACAGGCTCTCTGTATATCTTTGTCCTGGAATAACTCTGTAGACCAGACTGTCCTTGAACTCACAGAGATCCTCCTGTCTCTGCCTCCCCAGTGCTGGGATTAAAGGTGTATGCTACCACACCTTGAACTCACAGAGATCTGTCTGTCCCTGCCTCCCAGGCATTGGGATTAAAGGTGTGTACTACCACACCTTGAAGTCACAGAGGTCAATCTCTACCTCTGTCCCTTGAAGTCACAGAGGTCAATATGCCTCTGCCTCCCAGGCATTGGGATTTAAGGTGTGTACCACCACACCCAACTACTCTCTTTCTTCCTTTTTTTTTACATTAAGAACTTTAACTTTTAGCCTGCATATATTTTTAACACACTGTAAAATATTTAGAGGTTTTCTTCCTCTTTGAATCTCTCTTTACTGTATATCTCCCTTTTCTGACCACATGAGCCTTTAATTTACTAAGCAATATGGAGAGCAGTGGCTTTGATGGCTAGATCCAACCCACTCCCCAGCTCTCCAGTCTCATGGCTGAGATACCAGCCAGAGCTGTGTTCATTGCCACAACTCTATGGCGTTTCAAGGTCCTTGCCAGCGAGCAAGCTGCAGCATTCTGCTCATAGACCACACTCAGTCAGACTGCCTGCCTGAAAGAGTCAGAGATTACCCTGTCAGGACAGCCCAGAAAGCCGGCATTGTAAAACAGCGCAGCTTTTTTCCTGCTATGACTGAAAACCGAAAAGCATGTGTTCCGCTTTTCACCAACACCGTTTAAGTGTTTCGTGGCAGGACCTCTTAATGACCTGCAGGGCTTTGCAGCTAAAGCTGAGTCAGGAAACCTCTCTTAGATGAGAGCCTTGCTTGCCTCTAGCAAGCAAAGTAGACCCAAGAAATTGCTGCTACCAAGAAAACAAGCTTTACTCTATTCTTTCCCAAGCTTTCTCAAGCTTTTTGTGGATTCAGTTATCCACGTGGGCGCCATATGTAACATGAGGGCCGGCTTGTTGGGGTTTCTGTCCCTCCCAGTACCCCAACAGCCGGCAAGCAACAAAGAAAATCACACACAAGACTCCATAAGGTTATAAACTGATTGGCCCATTAGCTCAGGCATCTTGTTAACCCTTGTAACTTATATTAACCCGTTATTATTATCTATGGTAGCCATATGGTTTGGTACCTTTTTCAGCTGGACAGTTTACATGCTGCCTCTTCAGTGGTCTGCACAGGAATGGCAGAGGAACTTTCCTGCTTCCCAGAATTCTCCTGTTCTCATTGCATCACCTCTACTTCCTGTCTGGTTTTCCCACCTATACTGCCTGCCTGGCCAGTCAGCGTTTTATTAAAATATGATTGACAGAATACAGATAATTCTCCCGCACCACCATTGTCCAAGTTTCATTTCTACTTCTGTCCCAAAACGTCCTGACAAAAAGCAACTTAAGGAAGAATGGTTTATTACACTTAAAATTCTAGATTCCAGTCTGTTATTGTTGGAAAGTCAAAGCAGGAACTTCAAGCATCGTATCCGTCCGTAGTCAAGAGCAAAGAGAACAAGTGCCTGGATCCTTGCTTGCTTGCTGTCTTATGCTCTTTCCTCATCCTTATACAGTTCAGGGTCCCAGCCAAGGGAATGGTACTCTCCACAATGGGCTGGGTCTTCCTACATCAGTAACAATCAACACAATGAGAGACATACTCACAAGCCAACTTGAGGTAGGCACTGCCCTCACTGAGATACTCTGCTCTGGTGTTTCTAGGCTGTGCCAACTTCACAAATCTAATCATCAGAACCATTCCCAAGCTTTCTTTAAGACAGTTCTTCCAGTAGCCAACAAGGGAGAACCTCTCTGGACTACCAATTTTGTCCTTTCTCCTACAAGACTGTGCAGATGATACCTAGAGGTTTATTGACAAATGGCACCTGAAACTCTCTCTTATTCTTTTCATGAGCCTATTTAAACTAGTCAATAACGAATCTAGGAATAATTTAGGGGTGGGGAAGAGAAGGGAGGAAGGGGTAGACTTTTCAGTTTTCAGTCCAGTCATGCGACTCTCTGGCTAACTGCATTCGTTGGGGGTGACATTTCTCTCAAGGGTGACAAGCAGAGAAGTCAGTTTAGTAGAAACCTCTCATACTTTGCCATGACTCTCAATTCCCAGCAAGTCATTAAGAGGAATAGAAGAGTCAGTTCTAAACAAAGATGTGGGCTTGCTGCCTGTCTCAGGTGGTGTTTGCGGGAAGAATGCTCTTATTTGGGCCTCTGTCTTCTAACATGTGTACCCATCCAACATACACATTCCTAACAAGTTAGTACACAACAGGCTCCCAGGAAACACCTGCTATCTTTCATTTTAGTGTAAAGTCTGTTGTGTACACATGTATTCAGTTGGAGATGGAGGTTCTCAGATGTGTCATGAGGTTTACAGAAGGTTCTTAATGAAAGAGGCACCTAAGCAGAAGTCAAAACCATTGTTAGGTTATCACAGCTAGTAACTCACAATGAAAGGAAGGGACTTGGGTTTTGGGGTTGTTTGGAGTTTTTGTTTTGATGTATGTTCACACTCTGGAATGGAGTTTAGAAAAGTCTTTTCCTGCTTCAGTTACTCTCAACTCAAAACTTTTCATTGCCTTTTTATTTCTTTGATATTTTACTTTTAGATTCAGGTTTATAGGAAGGGAAAGACCAGCTTTATATACTTATAAAATCAGGACCAGCTTTATATACTTATAAAAATTGAAAACTATTAGTCTTTTTTAAAGTGAACGATGAAATAAATTTTATTTTATCTGATTTAGAAAATGTTCTTAAGTTTTTGGGTGCCTTCTTCTGTTTGCTATGCCTTATTTTTTGAGACATTATTCATCATTGAACATTTCATCATTTTGGCCAAATTTTCTAGCTGGCGAGACACATGGATCTGTCTGTCTCTGCCTACATGCTGGTGCTGAGGCTACAAATGAGTGTCTCTGTCCACCTCTTTATGTGGGTACTGGGAATCCAAAAATCAGGTCCTCAGGATTGTGTGACAAGCTCTTTATCCACTGAACCATCTCCCCAGCTTCCTACTATATACTTTAAATATTAGTTAGGTACTATCTTAAACATCATGTAAAAATTAAATGACACAGAAATCTATATTTTAAAACACACGAGATTTCTTACTCTCCCCACCTTCCATTCAACTCGCTAGGGGTTATCCACATCTGTCAGAATAGCTCTTCTCCTTCCTTATACTCCTTCATGCACAGGTATGAATGTATCAGTTACACTATACATACATTATGCATACATTAAGACAGACAAAACCTCTGGCTCTGTCTTTCTTTTCTACTAACAATATGCTGGAGGATTTTTTTTGAGTCATTACAAATCTGCTTATGAATATTTTATTAGTTTCATTATAACATTGTATTCATATAATCAAGATTGTTATCTATCTGATTTCTTGTTAATGAACAATTACTAACTCAGGGTATTTTTTTCTGCTGTTACAAGCATTGTTGACAACATTTTTCTACACACTTTTTTTTTTCAAATTGATAGTAACAGTTGCAATTATTGAGCAAACAAGGTGGGTATTTAAATTTTGAATAATTTAAACAAATTGTTTGCTCAAAACTGACTATATCCTTTTTCATGTTTGACTCAACACTTGACTCAAAAGTATATTTTTCTATTCTCGCCACAGACCCCAGTAGCATTTTCAGTGTTACCATCTATGGGTCTAGATGATGCAGTTTCCGAATGGCCAGTATGCACGTTTCAAGTTAGAGGATTTTCCCCACGTGTGCATTAGCTCTGTGTGCTCTGCCCCCATTCTTTTGTCTCATTTGCCATGGTTCAGGGACTAGACAAACACTCCTGCTTTCTATAGCAGGTCCATCAATAAGAGAGAGAAACTCATTCATTTGTGCCTTTCATGAAGATTTTAGAAATTAAAAATTTCCACTTTTTAGGAATACCTTTTATGTTTTAATCAGATCTTCTGAGTGATGCAAAAATTTGTCTGGCTTAAAAATTAGTGGAATGGATTTTATTTTCTTTCTGAAACCAATTGATCTTAGTAAAATGATAGAGGGTTGGAGAGGCTCAGTGGGAAAATAGCTTCCCAGGCAAGCCTGATGGATCCCATTTACAGGCGCAAAGAGAGAACTGACTTCCCAAAGTTGTCTCCTGGCCTCCAAATGTATAACACATGAGTATAAGGACAATAAGTTTAATAATATTTTAAGAACTATGGCTTTGATGGTCAAGTGACTGGATTTGATATGGTTTGATGGTGGCTGAAGGTTCACAATATTTAAATACTAAAGACGACATATTTGTTTATCTAGTTAGAATATCTCATTTAGCTTCTTACTTAGCCTCTCGATAAAGCCTCCCCCTGCTCCTCATACAGTGTAGATCCCTGGACAGCCAAGTATTGTGAAACCAGACATCTTAGGTCTCCATGTTTCAAACTCATGATGCTTTAGGAAATACTCAGGGTAAGCGAGGAGGTAGGACTGAACTTTATTGTAAGGCCTGAGACAGGAAGCAGGTTCAGGGTCTAAGGGGGAAAGTGAGTGAACGAGGGGCCCGGCTGTGTGGTCAGACATTGACTTTCCGTTTAAACCTTAGGTGGTTAAGCAAACTTGGATTTGCAGTAATCCACCAGGAGTCCACTACAAAGGATGAAGGTATGTTCTGCTTTCCATTTCTGAAACTTTAGCAAGAACGTTAGAACCGAATGAGTCAGGAGAAAGAAAGAGACAATTCAGCTTCTATGTATAGGCTGATCCTGGGGAAACGTGGTTTGACATTTGAAGCGATCTAAAAGGTACAGACAGCCATCTTCACACAGCCTCACCACGGAGCCGAGCCTCCCTGCCAACTCGAAGCAACTTCACACGTCTCCCACACTTGAGCAGCTGCGGGCCCTACAGATACTCAAACAATTGCCAATGCAAATGTTTTAGTGCCCTCCTTACAGAGTTCTTACTCACAGGCCTGAATGTGTCATGATCTAGTCAGATAACTTACATCCCACCATTTCCTCTGACAGTTTCACCGCTCTGCCAGGTGTGTGTTGGCATTAATTACCTCGAAATTGTTCTTGGAACCTGACGATCAAGTTGGAGACACACCATGTTCAGGCCTCACAAGTCATATTCATATCTTCAAAATACTACTAGCCTTTAGAGTGGGGAGCAGAGAACCGAATCAGACTGGTGCTGCAATGCTTAGATTATAGGACGCTTGGGTACTGTAAGGGGAAAGTTATACTTTTGATTTTAAAATCTTAAGGTTAGAAATGGAAAAGTGTCAAGTGTGAACCAATAAGGGAATTCATTATAATGCTGTGAAGTCAGCAGTTAGCTACCATGCTGGTCCTCTTTTTTTGTGGGGTAAATATCCACTGGTTATTCACTGGGGAAGAGAAGCATGTGTAGAAAGACTTATCCTGGTGTTTAATCTCTTTTGTGATATTGCTCCTAAACTTCTAAAATCCATCTTCCAGGCTCTCCCTTGGGGACCTCCAGTTTTGTGGCTTGGCTCATTTGCTCAGCCTGGTTCCCTTCTTGTTGTTTTGGGGTACCAACCATGGCTGAGTTATCAGTCAGATGCAGCTCCCACAGCTCATTCTGATTCCCATCTCCGCTGCTGATGGTGTCGTAACTATCACACATTTTTAAGGAATTTCTTTTCTTTTTATTTTCTCCTGAGTCACAACAACCTCCATCTTGCATCTTGGATGCTCTCCGGCAGCAGAAACTGCCATGCGGGAACGCTTGTTTCTCACATTCTTGAGTCTCTTTTCATCAGGTAGTGCCATAGATTTCTTGCTCTCCATTGCCCCTCCCCCTTTGGATGCTTCCTTTTTGAATGAGATTGAAATCACAATGTGCAGATGGAGAAAAACCTTTGCTCATACATTATGGAATAACTAAAGAGAGCTTGGAAACCTGAAGCATCTTTTTCCGGTTACAGAATGTTACAGTGAGAGTGAGCAGGAAGATCCTGAAATAGCCTCGGAGACGCCACCCCCTCCGTATGCTTCCGCAACTTCCTCTCCTGTGGTACGTGTAGATGTGAGTAGTCTGTTGGTCACTAATTCTATGTGAGTATGTCACTCCTTCTTATTGTACCACGGCCAATACCGTTTTAGAATTGACCGAGTTAAGGTGCTTCCCAAAGAGCAAGTGAAATTCTCAGGGTACTCACTCAGGGTGCTGACTTAGAGCCTTCTCCATAGCAACCCACAGGGATGACAGTCTTGATGTGTTTGTTCCTAATCTGCAGATGGACTGTATCACAGTCTAAGGATGCATGGAGATGCAATGGGCTTTTGAGTGACAGGCCTATGCCCGCAGAGGCTCATTTTGCAATGTGGCGTCTTACGCCCTACTTAGTCGCTGAAGCCATGTCAAGTGCCTTGCCTAGGCGCATGTGATACAGCAATGCAAAATGAATTTAAAAACAATATATAAAAGGGAGCATGAAAAGAGAAACAGAGACCGCAGCTGGGGGTCATCCCATTAAGACTGCATATGGGCCAGTGTGGTGTGTTCCCAAAGAAGGATTCAAGTTGCACCCTAAGCTTTGGAAGTCCAGGTCTTCATGGATGCCGAGACTTTGGAGCATTATTTCACATTTGGATGTGGTCCCTAGCAAAGGTCACACTGGGGTCAGTGAGGATATAATTTTCTTAAAATAGTTAATAGGTCATTATTATTATTATTGTTTTGGGTATGTGGTTTAAATTCAAGACCTTCTACATGTTAACACACAACCTACGCTACTTTCCAGATTTACATATTTTATGTTTATCATATCCCAGTGCTGTAAATGCATAATCATTTAATCTTTCAACAACCCTGAGAAACAGTAGTATTTTTTATTTGCCCTTTACTGATCATATAAGGCCAAACCCCTTACTATGGTTAGAGCCATTTGTATTTTTTCTTTGTGTCTGTTGGATGTTTTTAGCCTCTGCCCCCCTTCCTATTCCTTGTTCTCATTCTTGTTGACTGATGGGATGTCTCAGCTTGTTCCACTCTATATTTGAAATAACATGTGTTTGTCATGCACGGTTGTCAGCTGTAAGTGAGCCATTCTCACTTATTATTTTTTTAAACATGTTCGTGGCTTCTTTTTATAAATGTCTGTGAGTTTAATGGCTCAGATTTATCCATCACTTTTATTGAACTTAGTGTCCTTTAATTTTTCTGGTTTTAAAAAATTGCTTCCTCTCCCAAGGCCATGAGCACAACTGAGCTGCTGATCCAGCCCTTAAATGTTTCTTAAGTAGTTGTAAATCAGATGGTGGCAGTGGTGGAAGCTGCAGCACAGGCCTTTAATTCCAGTACTCTAGAGACAGAGGCAGGAGGGTCTCTGAGTTCAAGGTCAACCTGGTCTACGTAGGTAGTTCCAGAATAGCAAGGGCTACACAGAGAAGCACTATCTGGTAAAACAAAAACAAAATAAACAAACAAAAAAGTTAAAAGTCTCTCACTTTTAACAGATATTTTCTAAAGTAATAGAAGATAAAATTGTCAGATAAATGTCTTGTCAGTGTTTTGTCAATTTAAGACAATCTACTCTTCTCTGAGAAGAGGATCCTTAGATCAGGAAAATACATCATATATCAGATTGTTTGTAGGCAATTTGGGGGGACATTTTGTTGATTAATGGTTGATGTGGGAGGGCCCAGCCCACTGTGGGCGGTACCATCCCTAGGAAGGTAGTCTTGCTGGTATAAGAAAGCAGGCTGAGCAAGCTGCAAGGAGAGCAAGCCAGTAAACAGTGCTCATTTGTGGCATCTGCCTCAGTTTCCACTTCTTGGTTCTTGCCTTGAGTTTCTGCTGTGACTTCCCCTGATGATGGGCTGTGACCTGTAAACCAAGCACCCCCCCCCCCCGGAGTTGTGTTTGGTCATGGTCTTCATTACAGCAACAAAAGCAAACAAGAACAAATGTTGATTTTTAGTAATAGAGTATGGTCCTTCTGCTCACATATTTCCCAGCAGATTTTGTTTTTGTTTTCTCTTGTTTCTGGAAAAAAGAAAAAAAAAACAGACATGTAAGACACTTGGTTAAAATAGCATTAGGCTTACTATTTAAACAGATGAAATGAAAGAAAAAAAAATCTGGGTAACTTTTATCCAGGGCATGAATTCAAGTTATTGTTTCACTCAATATGATAGAGTCTAACAATGAATTAGATATTCAAGCCTAGGGTGAAAATAATTTTTTTCCTATTTTTTTTTTGTTTAGCAATTGTGTGACAACTTCATTTCATGAAGCTGAACCCAAAGAATAAAATAATATTGTTCTGGAAAGTTGTTTCAAAAACTTTCAAGGTTTGAAATAGCTAACTCAATGTCTAGCCTTTCTTACTGCTAGAGAGTAGAGATAATCTCAGTTTTTGTTGTCCTAGAGTTTGAACTTCTGCTTCCAGTGGGCTGAATCCCACAAGGGAGGGCAGTGTACAGTAGAGTCTTGAGCCAGTGAAGGCAAGTTCCTGGTTCTGATCTTTCAAACTGCAAAACCTTATGTGAATGACAGTGCGGGGCGGAGGGACGACATCCACTTTCCCTTTTGTGTGTCTATGTGTAGAGCATGTCCATGTATATGCTAAGGTCAACCCCAAATGCCATTCTCGAGGAGCCAGCCTCAGGATTCCTCATGGGAGTCTTGGACTCTCTGATACCCTAGAGCGGCTAACCAGGGAGCTCAACAGACTCCAAGTGCTGGGGATATATGAGTTTGCCTGCCACAGCGCCCAGCATTTTATGTGGGTGCTAAATTTCTGAATTCAGATCCTGGAACTTGATTGGCAAGCACTTTGTTCAGCAAACCGTCTCTGCAGCCCCAACATGACCTGATTCTTAAAGAAACGATAGAGAGTTTTGTTTTTCCCAGGCTTATTATAAAAGTTTAAAATACATGGGGGTTCTGTCCTTTTCATTTTGAAAGATAATTTGTAGATCTCATTGTTCAGATTTCTTCAAAGAGTATAAAAGGAACCAACTTCTCAAGTCTCAGAATGTCCTGAGTTACTAAGTGTTTTTAAGAACTATTAATAGCACTAACGCGTTCACCACACAGTTTCTTCTTCCAAGTTTAATTTTAAAGGCACTGTCTGATAACCTGCTCTGTTATGCTGATTCACTTCAATTATAAACCCTCTTCTCATAACCTGGGATCCGTTGATGAGTGGTTCATGTCCTTGCTTGGGGAAGCTTCCTGTTCAAAGAGATAAACGCAGATGACCATCCTAGGCGGGAGGTCTACTATGGCAGAAGTAGGGAAGGATGGATGAGACCAAGGGAGATGGGGATAGAGAGTGGGCTGTGGCAACCAATAGGCATGGGGATGGTCAGAATGGTCCCACGCTGCATAGATCTGAGCTTAGGTCTTCGGAAGCCCTATGAGTCAGCTGGGCGACCCACTGCAAAGGAGTTTCTAACCAGAGAAAACAGAGTCAAGGTCTTATTGGTGAGAAGTGATGCCAAAATGTCACCGGAGCGGGAGCTCATGAACCTAAATGAGACAGGATGTAAAGCCAGGATACCAGTAGCCATCCTATATGGGGCTTGTGGGCCAGCCTAGGCTTTCGATGCTCCGTTCTGAGTGATTTGGGGAGCACTTGGAAGATATGAGTGGAAGGGTTGTGATGTCAATTTTGAACTTAAAAGGAGACCCAGGTTGGTATATGGAAGCAGCCCTGTGCATAAGGGAGAAGCACATTTTCACAGAAGGCAGCAAAGTGTGCATTGTTCTGTGGTGTGATGTAGTGGTGGGTTTTCCTGGACAGCTCTCAGGCCCTTCAGGAAGGGAGATGGCAGAGACTTGAGTGTGCTTGAGAAGAGACCACCAAGAGCTGGATCAGGTAGGAGAAGGGGGATGAATATTTATAACCCCAGCTTCAGGCAGCTCAGCTCCTAATTCAGAGTATTGTAACAGAAAGGTTCAGGCATCCTCACATCTTGATGCTTTTCAGGAGAACACTTCCTTTTTGTCTCCGAGAATGTTGAAACAAGCCTTCTAAAGCAAACCAAAGCAGCATGAAGTAAAAATAAACCCTGAAAAGAGGCCCACTGGCCAGGGATAGAGGAGGAAGCCGGAAACTGAACAAACAAGGATAATTTTAGAAATATAGATTCATTTTAATAGGCTATGTCTTGAATAGCTGTCTACCAAATGTCACTCAGTCATTCAGTATCTATTCTACAAAGCGGTATAGATGCTTGCAAGTGGGTAATTGTAGGAAGACTTACCAGTGAACGTAGCACATGATTCTGAACCTAGAAAATATATACATGTAAGAAATAGAGATAAGGAAAACCACCTTTCTACTCAGGATATAAGAAATGATAAGCTTTGTGTTTGGAAATTGAACTGATTTTCAAACTTTGCTATAACTTGCCGTTATGTATTTTTGTCTTTTCATTTAACAGTTTCTTTCCACAGCCAGCTAGCATGGCGGCTGTCCCACCATCCCTTCCTGCCTTCTGCTTCCGCTGGCCAACTCCCACCCCCTCATTAGTTCCTGCCTGAGTCATTGGAACAAGAGGCTCTTTCTTTCCCTGCTTCTAGTCTATCTTTCCTTCCAAAAGTCCCCCAAAAGGTGCTTTTAATAAGTCCGATTTGCCTAGAACTCACCCTGCTTACCAGGTTGGCTTTGAACTCACAGAGCTCTGCCTACCTCTGCCTTCCAAGTACTAAGATTAAAGACAGGCACCACCATACCTGGCCGTTTTATTCAAGGGCCACTGAGAGGTCACATTTGTTGCTACTTTCTTGCCACTAGTCCCTCCTTCATCATCAGCCCTGAAAAATGCCTCCTTTGCCCTGAGTCTTCCAAGCTCACCTTCTGCATCTGCAGGGAGAGAGTTTCTTAACCTGTAGGAAGCTCTAGTTGGGACGCCACCCTAGTTCTCATTCATGGAGTCTTTTAGTCTGCTTCAAGCACAAATTCCTCTGCTGAAGCCATTCCCGGCCTTCTAAGCCAGGACAAATTTGTTCTTTTAGTTTTTTGGTTTTTTTCTGTTAATCCCTTTAGCTGACATTCATGTATTCAAAGTAAT